CCTCACCACGGGCTATGCTTGCCAGGACTGCTGGGAGTTGTGGACTTAAACACCTGCTCTGTGTGAATTCCAAGATCAGCCCCATTTTAGTGCTCTATAACTCCACAATGCTGCCTCCGCTTGGCACAATCTGGAAGGGGGGGATACACAAACGCAAGGATGGTTCCACCACAACTCCCATCATTCTACTGTTGGCCATGCTGGCTAGATGGGAAGCGTACTGCCACTCTCTCCAACATCCCCCACTCCTTCCACAAGCACCGTCTAATGCCCTACCTCAGATAACAACTCTTTTGAAAATGCAGAGCAATCCCAAGTCAGTAACGAGTTCTTCTAGAAGACCAATGTGAAAAGGGCAAAGCTGGGGGCGGGGGTGTTCTAAAAACTAGAGCCTTCGTTCGAACAACCTGGCCTGCTTTGACAACTGTTGCTGAAGCCTTGGCTTCCCTTTTCCACCTCTAGTTTGTCAATTATATGGGTGGAGGAGGCAGGTGCCTCCCATTCCAAGGAGGCAGAGGTGCCCCATGGGCTTCCAGTGGTTTCAGCCCCATTGCTGGATTACTACAACTCCCATCAGTTCCAGGAAGAGGATCGGTCATGGAAGCTGAGACAAGAGTTCCACAACTTCTGGAGGGCTGGATCTTCCTAATTTCTGGTAGAGTGTTTATTTTAGGCAGTCTCCTCAGAAAGCAGCATATCTAGACGGCACTCGAACACAGTCAAGAGAGGACTTTTTGAGGATGGCCCCAGTTGCAGAGACCTGCTTGCACAGGGCACAAAGGAAAGAGTATTCTCCTGGGCTACTCTTCCTTTTGAATGGTCTCCACTCTTTCTACATCCAGAAAGGGGGTCAAGGCATATTGTTTTAATCAAACTTTTTGAATTACTATATGGGACTTTAGGTTGTTTGTAATGTTTTGCTATATTTATATAATTGTGGCTTTCATTTTTTGGACATTTTGGAAACTTCCACGATCAGCTTCAGAAAGGTGATATAGCAACAATAAACAATGTTGTACCATTAAACTTAACAAGCTATGCAGAACCTATGGACTACTTGATTGTTAGGATTATATTGTTAACCTGGGCAACAGCCCACCTTCACCAGGTTCACCCAACACAACAAGCCATGGCCTGAATTGTGAATGGGGCACTTAATGAGTTGCAGGGACTGTGCAAACTCCATGACTATGACAAATGGATTCTACTCCTTTCCAGAGGTGAGAGCAGTCCTCACCCAGCAGCACACAACCCAGCAGTCTTGGGTTTCCTCTGCTCACATACCCACCACTCCTCTCTTCCCAGAATTAAAGAAGAGAGCCCAGAAGTCCTGCTCTGTCACCGAAGCAACTGCTCTCTTTGAGATGCAGATGAGATCTGGAGCTCTGGAAACATCCCTGCTCCGCAATGCCACCTCCAATGTCCTTGCAGCCCTGCACCCCATTGCCCTGCTGTCCCCAGAACCAGTCAGGAGTTGCGGAGGTCCCTATTTGCCATCCACAGGCCATCAATCCCTGCCCTAAAGCATTTACTTTCAAGCCAGGTTTGGAGTGCTGTGCAAAGGGCAGTCAGCTGCCACAGTTCTCTGCAAGCTGCCAGCCCCCCGGGGGGGGGGGGGACGTGTGTGAAGCGGGCAGAACTGATTTCACTCAATTACTGCTTTAATGGGAATCAGAAGCGGAGAGAGAGCCTTCTGTGAAGTTAGGATTTTAATGCCAGATGAAGGTCCCTAAAGGAAAAGCACATCATTTCTCTCTTTTTCCGAGCCTGGCAACTCTCAGCAGAATGCCAGAATACATTCAGCAGGAAGCAAAGCAAGAGCCTGGAAGACAGTTCCTAGGGACTCCCTGCCCTGCTTCTCTTTGATACCCTGCTGTGTAAGCCGGTAGGGCCTCCTGGTACACAGGCTCTTGGGTGCGCGCACACACACACATCTCTCCATGCCTAGCGAGCTCCCCCCCAGAAGCGGCTGCATGTCCAAAGGCTCTTTGTGGTGGAAGATTTTCCAGGCTGGGAAGCAAGTCTCATTATCAGATGCCTTTGAGCTCCCTAAACTCTGCGGGATTATCCCAGGAGAGCAGGCAGGCTGGCCTTTTCTTCCTCCGCCCCCATGATGACAACAAACAAGCAATCCCAGGCAGGGGCACAGTGATTGTCTCTGGCCGCCTGTGCTGGCTGCAGGCAGCCAGCAGGGTCTATTCTCGAGCACAGAGCTGGCACCCGCCGGGTGGGGATGTAACTACATCTTGTCATAACATCCAACTAGCAGAAACCCCATGTTCAGCAGAGAACAGCTCAAAATAATACCGAAGCCATAAATAGCTGCCCTGGTCTTAGCATCTGACCCTGGTGACAACCCAGGACAGAAGTCAGAAGTAAGGACATGTCTCTCTCTCTCTCTCTCTCTCTCTCTCTCTCCCTCTCTCCCTCTCTCCCTCTCTCTCTCTCCTCTTCCTTTTTACCTGCCTGGGCATAAGTAAGAAACTGGCCCTAGGGGTGGTAATACTGTGACTGTGCCATAACACCACAAGAGGAAGAATGCTCTGCCACATAAATATATATGCCCTGCATGTAGTAAACTAGTAAGGCAGGCAGGCAGCTAGACTATTACCCCATTTTCCCCAGCATGCTACTTTTCATTCATGCAGGGAATCTCTCTGTATGATGGGTCGTTTTGCCAGGTGTGCCTTCACCTGCAGTTGAACTGGTACAGCCAAGACACAGGCTTGCAGTTTCAGTGAAACATAAGTCACACAAGTACACTTAACTAGTCCGAGGAATCATGCCTCCCTTTTCAGTGTGTGTATATGCATGAATACACACACACACACACACACACCCTGGGAGGCTGTCTATCCATCCAACAAAGGTCTGGATTCCTAGATATTAAACAAATCAAAACAAAACAAAGCACTCCTCTGCATTTCAGCACAACGCAGCTTGCTTTTTCAATAGCCTTGCGTATTTTCACACCACTCTGTTCTGCCTGAATACAGAATTTCCTTGATGTCCCTGCCACTGTCCTTAAAGGTTTGTATCTTCTTTGTAACACCCTGGAAACAAAACCCTGGGAACAAGAGGAATGTCATCTAGAGTACATTTGTAAAAATGAAAGAAAAATCACAACAGTGAAATATGACTTGGGAACCAGAATTCCCAACTTGGAAAAGGAAAGAGACCTTAGGAATGACACGTAGAAGTATCCACACTGAGAACAGAAATTGCCTGGCCTCACCCTTGCAGTTTTTGAGCGGGTCACTGTTCCAAGCTTGCCTCCCGGATGAGAGAGAGAAAGCCTGGGACAGTGACTCACATAGAGATGCAACTTAAAACTTCCCTTGGAAACTTTCTGCTACACTTCTATGATCTGTTCTCATTGAATGCCAAGAAGCAGAGGGGGTATCAGCATTTTCCAGAAAAAAAAAACCCCTGAATGGAAAGTAGGCAAGTCCAGAGCAACAGATCATGCAGAGGCATAGTAGGCAGCCTCCTCTGGTTGCTAGTCATGGCTTAGGAAATACATTTAGCACATATGGGAAGGGAAGCTTGGATTCCTGGATTTTGTTTCCTAGATGTGGCATCTACTGACAAGAGGGTGAGAAAGGACAGGCCCCCCATGTTCCATCCAGCTCTGGGTGTGAAAGCACGAGATTCCTGGGTTCTACTCCACAGGCACATTTCTTGAGGGGAAACCAAACTCCCTGCTAAGTCTCTAATCCTGGCCTTGGAAACTTCCATCTTTTCCTTCTTTCCTCTTCCTCCTCTGCTGCCTGACCAGACCATTGTGAGACCAAACAGTTGCAAAGCATTTAAGATGCCAAGATGAAAAGAAGCCAGAAACAGAGGAGGCAGGAGGGAACAAGCATCAAGAATAGAAGCAGGGAAACCAGCCACCAGCAGGAAGGATTGAAACAGGGACGGGGCATGGATAACATCTCTGAAGGCAGGGATGAGAAGGTGACCAGGAAGGAAACTGTAGCATCCACAGGGCAAGAGGCATCCCCTAGAACTAGTGGGGGCTTGGAGAGTGGAAGGCAGAGAGGAAAGAGAGGGCCATGGAGTCCTTCAGCATCCTGTGCGCAAGAGCACACTGAGAGCAAAAGGAAGAAAAGGGATGGAGATATCGCATAAGCCCTGGTTGGTCTCGCAGGTAAGCACTGCTGAGGTTTAATAGCTCATCAAGAAACATGGGAGCTGTATTCTCCAATTTACACATGCTCTTATCTGTGGATATCACATACATAAGCCTGTCCTGCTCCTTTGATTAGCAGTCGCTCAACACAGCTGCAGCCTCTGAACAGGCAGCAAGAAGGAAGAAAGAGGAGCTTTAGTGTTTTAGGATGTATCTGCTGTTCGCTGCCTAGGGATGAAGGACAGGTATACAAACAGACAAGCAAGTACAAAGCCAGCCCTGGGGTCCAAAGCAAAAGAATTATTTGCTCTGGAGGGTGGGCTCACATGGTGTTACAATCAAGCGATAGGCAGAAACGTTCATGAATGCTCTAACTCGAGCCAGTGGCTGCTGGGGATCTCTTGGGACAGCTCTGCCCCCCAGCTCTAACACAGGTTGTTGGGAGTAGCAACTTTCAGTAATTGTGGCAAGATGGGCACAAGTGCTGACGGAGGAGTACAATTATCATGCTCCCTCTTTCAATTGCCCCTCCATGCCCTGCAAAATTAAAAAACCACAAAACGGAAGGGCTGGAAAGGAAGGCAGAACCCTGAGATCCAGCCATGAACTCACCTGGCAGGAATCTCTTTGCAGCTCAGAGGACAGGGATGCTACCTAGTGGGTAGAGCAAAGGATCTCTCCATACCCTTGGGCTTGGTTCTCTTCCAAGGCTGCCGCCAACATACCGAAGTTCACGACAGAGTTTCGTTTCACCTGTGCTATGAAAGCAGGGGGACTTGCTGCTAGTAAAGATGACTCCCTCCCCCCACACGCACACACACTCCTGCTCGTGGGAAAGCGCCCGATGGACGGTTGGTCCATTACTTACCCGAGCCTCCTCATGCATCCCGGCTTACGAACTTTGCTCACGGCTTCAGTAATGCAAAGGAAGAGGGGCCCGAGGCAGAAAGGGCTGCGAGTTAAACAGGGAGAGAACTACTCTGGAGTAAAGAGGCGAGAGGCTGCGTTGGATAAGAGCACGGTCCGAGAAGGCACTGCAGCAAAACACAGCGGCTGCGAGGGGTGGAGGTGGATGGCGACATTTCTTTCGCAGTCCCCACCTCTGCGAAGTCCCCCCGCCACTTAATTCGGATCAAAGCGCGCACGCCCCTTACCCCGACCAGCTTCACCGCGCTCCCCACACCGTCTGAGTGACCCCGGCGCATCCCAGCCGCCGCGAGCGAGTGAGCGGAGCGCCCTCCTCCTCCTCCTCAGGTCGGGGCGGAGCGAGGGCGAGCAAGCCGCCCTCCTCGCGACCGACGGCCAGGCCCTCCCGGCCGCCCCGGGAGCCGGCGACGGGCCGCAGGGAGAAGGGGAGGGCCATGAACTCCCCCTGCGAACCGCGCGCTCGGCCCCGGGCTAATCCGGCGGATCCCCGCGGGCGGCGCGCGCTCCGTCTCCCGCGCTGGAATCGCGCCTGCTCCAGCCCCGAGGCGGGGATGACGCCGAGCGCGGGGCTCGACCCCGGAATCCCTCGGTGGCATGGAAGCAAGCAATGTCTCTAAGCATGTACAGAGTACATTCCCCCCCTCCCCCAGCATGGTGGTACCTCCCTTGAATAAGGTTGTCCAAAGTTTATTCTAAGCATCGTTTCAATCTCGCAGGGTACCTCCATTAGAATTTCTCTAACGGTAAACAATAAAAAAGGGGTAACCTTCATATACCCAACTGCACAAGACCTACACAGGTGTCTTTTTAAACAAGGGCACAACATGTATTTAGTTGTGCATTGTAATGAACAATACATGAGAAACTTGAAATGAGAACTAGGGAGTTCCAGTGGCACTACTTCAGCATTGTAAAATGAGCTATTAACAAGCCACTGAGCATGTGCAGAGTGTTTTCCTCTCACTAATGACAACCACACCCCTAAAACTGGGATTTAGGCTGCAATCCTATATGCACTTCTGCTAAAGTAAATCCCAATGAACTCAATGTGGCCTACTTCTGAGTAGACATGTCTAGAACTGCACAGCAAGAGGCTTCCAAGCTGAAGTGCATTGATTCTCCTAGATTTCAGCCCCCTGTAGCATTGTTACACATTAACTTCTGATTTTAGATGTTTAACATTAAAAAACATGTCCACTCACATGTCCTCACACTCCTATTTCAGTCCTCCTCATTCCCTGTCTGCTGTGATGAGACAAAAGTGAAAATCTTGCTAGCTTAAGCAGGGGAATGCCAACAGGTAGACCCAGCCTGGCCTGGTTTTGCATCTTTAACAGAAGCGTAATATGCAGAAATTTACAAGCGAAGATGTTTACAGCCCAAAGATAGTTGTCATCAGCTGCTAATGTCTGGGCTTCAGCCTCCTGTAAAAGGCACAGCAACACAGGTCTCCTGAAGAGTTGGCAATCCTACACAGGCCCTAGAGAGAGGGTGAAGATGTCTAGGTGACCTACTTGTAGCTAGCATTTCAATGAGGCCTCTCAGCTCCAAGTCCTACAAGATCTCTTTGCCCTAAATTAGCAATCTTCCTAAAACTTTCAAGCTAAAATGGCCACAAAAGGAACCAAAATGAAAAGCTTTCTGGGTTTGAGGGTGATGGGAAGTGCCAAAGCAGCTGAGCAACCCCGAGTCATCAGAGCAGGCTGTGGATTTTACAGGTTGGATCCACTGCCCCCCCCCACCCCATGGATCTACCTTTTCACCACCAATGTCACCAGCTGTCCCTGTTCCTCATCACTGCCACCACTTGCTTGCTGGAGAGGCAGAGGCTTCCCTGCTCCTCCTCCTCTCCTCTGCCTTTGTCTGAACCAGAGTAAGAGAGGCAGGTGAACAAGTTAGTTGCAATGGTGAAGAACAGGAATAAGCTCAGGGCACTCTCGTCTGCGTGCCCCTTTTGGAGGACAGCCTCTCTGTGGATGCTCAAGCGTGCCTACCCTTGCAGCCAGCCCCGGCAGTCACTCATTCCCAATTTCAGTGCCCAGGCACGCACCAGTGTCTCTGCAGGAGAGCAGCTGCTGGCAGGGAAAAGTATGCTCATTCATAAATTAATATGTCCAATCAATACATTAAAGCCCCGTGAGCCCGGTGCTCACATCAGCAGAATGAGTTGACCTCTGATGATGAGTGCTGTGTGGCTTTACCTCTTTGCAGGCAGCTTCTGAACAACTTTTAGTCCTGGCACTGCAGCTCTACATCCAGTGTTAGACTTGGGCACTAGGGCCTGCCCGCAGAGGGCTAGGCTTGCACCTTCTGTAGGCATGCTCAGAAGACAACAGGCTGAAAATCAATGCTGGATTCCTCTGAGGAGAGGCACTTTGTATTGGGATGCACTCTAAAATACAACATGGGGGGTACAAGAATGAAGCGTGCTTCCCATTTTAACACAGGAGGGAATGTGCCTCAGCCTTCAGAGCAGGTAAGCTGGGCAGCTCTGGGAATGGGGACCCCTACAGTGCATGGCCCCACGCAGAGCAGCAGAGATCCATCGGTCCCCCTCACCTTGCATCTAGACATTCGATGAAAAGTCATCCGGGGGAAGAATTTAACTACGCCGGGGTGGCAACTGTTGGCCTTCCTGATGGTGCTGGATTTCAACTCCCCTAAGTCCCATCCGCCATAGCCAATGGCCAAGGATGATGGCATCTGTAGTCTGACAACTTCTGAAGGGCTGCAGATGCCCCAGCCCTGGACTGAGCAACTCTCCACCTGCAGTCTCAGCATGGCTCAGTCCAGATGCAGTTTTCCCAAAGCCTCTGCTGTCTGTAGAGCAAGTCGTGCCACATTTTAAGAGAGAAATTCTTCCTTCAGGAGCTTCCAAAGAAAAGCTCAGTTTTGAGTCGTGTGTGCTGTATGGAGATGTCTTTGCATGAGTAAGAAGCACTTAAGGGCACAATCCTGTGTATGCTTGATTGCTGGTTGTGGTGGGCAGCACATGCTGGAATTTTTTTCAGTCTCAGCACACAGAGGATCTGGCCCTTAAAAACAGAAGACCATCTATCAGTCAAAAGCATCTCGACTCAGCTGACAGCCCTACAGGGGAAACAGGCAGAGAGAGCTCCTTTCCATGTAATGTTTGCACCTGCACAATTCCCTGGTGGCCTTCAGAGAGCCATTGTGATCATTCAGCTGGGATCAGCCACTCAGAGGATTTCTGAGAAAGAGACAGGCGCCTACAAGGCGGAGTCAAGCTGAGCAGCCACGTGCCATATTGAATTGCTGCTGCTCTGCAGCAGGTGCAAACCGAACTGGGTGACAGGAAGAAATCCAGCACTCTGCTTTCCATTTGATTCCCCTGACTCCTGTATGCTCCAGGGAATGTCTCCACCAAAGGGGGCGATGCATGGGGCAGCCAGAAAGCCCCCTATTCCCCTCCCCCGATCCATTTATGAAATGCTGGGAGGATATTTGCCATTCTTTGGACAAGATACATTTGGGAAGCATAGCAACAATCTTGTTAGGCATCCTCCGTGCACCAACAAGAGACACTTAATACGCATGGAACAGCTAATCCAAACCACATCTGATCTGCATAAATACAGCAGGCCCCTCCCTCTTTGCCAATATCTTATTACAGAGGATGTCACAAGCATCCCGGGATTCGTGGGGTTCCTTGCTGGAGGGGCTGAAGTCACACAGCCATTTTGCCCCTAAAACAACAAGGCTCCAACAGGTCTAAGAGCTTCACTTTCCTAAAGTTTTCCACACCCAGACCCTCCCCACATACCTCCAGCCTTTAACGTCATTCATCCTGGCATGCAGAAATCAAACAGATGAAGCTGGCCCCATGCTTCCTAATCCATGCCAGGAAAAGATCCCCCTTGAACATTCCTATCTATAGGCATTCCGATAGGCAGTTTCTGCAGGGGTGACCGACTTCTGGCCCTTCTGATGGCTTTGGACTGCAGTTCCCATCAGCCCTAGTTAGTGCAGCCCATGGTGAGGGCTGCTGGGAGCTGCAGACCAACAACTTCTGGAGGATAAGGGTTGCCTACACTGTGGCTCTTTGCTGCATCTCTCTCTAGGATCTGGCACAGGCACACTGTCATAGTGGTTAGAGCGCTGGACTGGGGATCTGGGAGTTCTGGGTTCTAGTCCCCACTCACTGGGTGGCTTTGGGCCAGCCACAGACTCTCAGCATAACCTCCTCACCTAACCACAGAAACCCTTCCAGAAAGGGGAAGGGTACACAAAGTGGTGACCCTAATTTTGGTCCACAGCTGGGAGGGCTGGTTGCCTCTCATCCACTCGCTTGATAGCTTGGAGCTTCTAAGGCATAGGCAGGCAGCCTGATGCTCCCCAGATGTTTTGGGCTACAATTCCCTTCATTCCTGGTCACTGGCCATGGCAACTGGGGCTACTTGCAGTCTGCCTGGTGCCAACATTCTCATCTTTTGGCATCCAGTTAAGACTTTCCCCTGCTCTCAGGCATCTGATGGCGCAAGATGTAGCTTTTAAACATTAATGTTTGCTTTTTTAATCAGCCTTGGTGATCTTAATGTTGCTTTTAACTGTTTCAAACAGTTTATGCATTTTGTATATTAAAGTTTTTATATGTCCTGAACCATCCAGGGAGTGCTGGTTATTGGCAGTTTAAGAAGTGCGAGGAATGAAATGAACAAATAATGAGAGATGTGCTCCAAAACACTAGACTGCTACCAGCTGCCTACTGTTGTTCGAAAGGACATGCCACCCCTAGGTGAAGACTGGACAAAAAGCCCTGGACAAAACAGCTCCTTGTTGCAAGAGTATTCTACAATTCATGCCATCCATTTCCTGCCTTTTCCTCTCTCTCTGTCTAGTTCTGTGCCAAGGCTAAGCAGAAGGGATCTTCCATGTACCAGAGGGCAATCCTGGCCTGCCACCATGTGTACAGTCCAGGTGGAGCACTAGGCAACTCAAGGCTCTTTGCTGCATGTTTCTAGGGTACATGCAAGGGGCATATTCACGCTGAGAGCCAGTGGTGGTGTAGAGGTTAGAGTGCTGGACTGGGAATCTAGGAGTTCTGGGTTCTTGTCCCAGCTTAGCTGTGAAGCTCACTGGGTGACTTTGAGCTGGCCACAGATTCTCAGCATAACCTACCTCACAGGAGCGTTGTTGTGAGGATAAAATGCGGTGGAGGACAACAGTGTAAGCTGCTTTTCCT